CCAAAACTCAACCCAAAGATCCGCATTAGAATGATGGACTGCCATGGGTCCCTGATGGACCCCCTTGATTACATAACTTGCGTCTACTACTACTGTGGCATCTCCTGCTGTTGACTGCAGGGCTCGAATTACTGCTAGCAGCTCTGCTCTCGGCACAGTCTGCCCAGGTCCCGCTACACTACCTTGATTGGCCGCCTTGACTTCCTTTCCGACACGGACGACGAACGACCATCCAACTCTACGGAGTCTGGCGCCTCGCGAGTGCTCACCTCCGACCCATCGGAACCTATGACGGTGCCTGGAGGGAGCGGTAGATGGTCAGAGTCTGGCTACTCACCCTTCGAGTGTGACCTCTTCAGTTGGAAACGGGAGATCTGGCCCTGCCATGGCCCACAAAATTGGGACCAGACCTCTGAGCCAAAAACAAGGATACCTATGTGCTCCTTCCACTGACTGGGCCACTAGGCCACGGTCTTCACTAAGCTCTGAGATTTCGCTGCTGCTCGGACATTCCCAAAACTGGTGAGACAGGCTTTCTTCAAGGGCTCCACACCTTGGGCAACACGGTGATCCCCGGCGGGTGTTTTCAAACCTTCGTTTGGCAGGCCACAAGGCCCCTTGGCTGACCACCTCTAAAACCGCAGCCAGATTATTGAGCCCTTTCCTGCGCAAACTCTTGAGGCGGGCCCAGGTCACAGTCAGATCCACACCAATCCCGGCCCCAGCACCCTCGACATGTTTACTGGCTTGGGCCCACAAACTCTGCCCCAGGGCGGACCCTACCTCAAACTTCAAAAGATCTGGCCCTTCTGGGCCGTCGACGTTGAATTTCTCCCCACTGGGCATGGTCCACTCCCCTGGCGAATTCAGGGCCCAACACATATCTAGTTGCGTTGCCTGCGCTGCTGCCAAGTGGCCCCGCACATGCTGCCAGCGGTTCTCCACTCCCTGCAGCTGCTGTCAGGACTCCTGCCACGCGAGGTTGATCCCGTCGCGCCACTGAGCCATCCGAGGGGGGCGTTCCTGCCAGGACAAAAGGAGCTCCATGGGGCCCCCCAAAAAAAGGGATCACTGGTCTGTCCTAGACTAATCCGAATGGCGGTGATCGCACAGCCACCTGCCCACTTGCTACCACACATGGCAGAAACCTGAGCTCTGAGTTGCCTGGGAGTCGTGGGCGCAAGGCCCATGGCGGCCGCTCCCCAAGAGACCTGGGGCCTGTGCCCCGTCTTGGCTAACTTGTTCGCCTCTCGGGCCACTCTACCCAAGAACTTGACCGCTATGGCTCTCTGGGAGCCTTTCCTCTGTCTAGTGTTGATTACCCCTTGCCTCCGAGCCCCACTGGTGACGTCGATGCCCAGGTCCCTGCCCGTTGTCTCCACATTGACGGGAAGGCTCATCTCTTTGATCTTCTGGCGGGGATCGGATCTGAGCTGCGGGGCACTGGCTAGCGCAACCGATTTCTTGGAAATTCTCAAGCCTTTTGCCATCATGGATCTGACAATAACTGTTGCCACTGAGGTCGCCTGTGTTAATACTGCACGATGGCTCCCAAAATTTAGCTGCGCTAAGTCATCCACCCAGCTTCCAATCTGATGCATGGGCGGCGGGCACTTCTTGTGCGCTTCATCCATCATATCCCAAAGGTACATACGTGGCCAAGCAACATTCTGCATACACCCCGCAATGATCGGGTTGTTTGAATGCACAGCATCTGAAAGAAACCTGCCCACTGCCAACCACCTGTCTGCAGTATGTTGCAGGAGCACTAAGTAGAAAGGGACAAGTGGGCACTGCAAGGATTGAGCCAAACTCGCCAACGTTGAGGGTTGGATGAGATCGTAAAACTTCTCTGCGCCCCAAAGGAACTGGATCCAGTTGATGCCCAGGAGCCCGCATGTTCCAGCTTTTAGTTGCTTGAAGACAACCGCCCTCAGCGGGCTGCTGCCTTTGACCGCCGAACCCCAGAAACCTGCTTTCTGCCTCTCCCAGGTGACGACGGGCTGCGTCCTCAGAATACTCCATAGCCTATATGGGCCAGGTGCGAGCGCGATGGGCATATCTCCCCCTGGAGGGGGCTCCGGGGTCATAGCTGCAGCATTAATCAGTGTCTGTTCAGGCCAAGCGAGTTCCG